CAAAACATACATTTTTCGTTAAAAACAGTTTTGGAATCATAAAAAAAGCTTTCAAACTACAGTCCTGATTTCAATTTATCCGGACAAAACCAGCAAAACGTGATAGTGCAGATGCGTTTTTTTTTCAAATTGGGTCATGTTCGAGAGTAAGAAGCTCCTTTTTGAGATAATTTTCCAATCAAATAACTTGGTAGTTTTAGGCAAACGATCCCTTTCTTGGGGTAAAATTTTGGAACCTTTTTTGGGGAAAAACTTTGGTTCCTAATTTACACAAATATAGTACCATAAAAACTTGTTAAACTTCCAAACAACTTTTTCCCCTTTTTTTCTAATCTCGACCCATTTTGAAAAAACGCGTGTGAAATTTCTAGTTTTGTTCGTTTAAACCCCGGGCAACGTATTTCCCGGGATTTTTTAATGTGATTGACAGTTTATTGAAGGTTTTTGATAACTTTCAATAAAAATACCAAAGTCTCAAAAAATCTTAGAGGCAATGAAAGTATTCGCTAGAGGAAATTTAAAAGTTTAAAAGACAAATATGAATTTTTAATCAATGCAAATGGGCAAATCTTAATGTACTATTGAATTACTGTCAAAATTAGGCAATTTTTGACCTTTTGATCAACTATGTATCAAATGTTTTTTATAAAATTCGAAAGAATTTTAGAAAAAAGAATTTGTGAGAGTAGCTTCGAGTAGCTTCGGTTCTTTTGGATATCATCACTTTTTCTTAAGCACTATCCGATATCTCTAAATTATTATTTGTTGTCAGCAAAATGAATAAGATTCCTGCAATAAAAGAAGTTTGTATCTGACGAAATGTGTGTTTCATTCTGTGCCTTGCTTAGAGTCTCTGGTCAATCGATCCCATCGGATGTAAAAACGCTATTGATAATCTAAGTATTCCATCCTATCATTACTGGGGGTTTAAAAAGATTCTGCAAAACCTCATTCTGCAGAGGTTTGTACATATTTTAACCACTTCAATTTTTCTTTTTACCAGCTCATAAAAGACATGTGAACTGTCATTTCTCACTATCCAAAAAACGGTCGATATTTTTAACTACAAAATTATAAAACGTTGATTTCTTTTCCTAATCAGTATGGTTATCTGAGCAAATGTGTTTTAGCATTTTCCATCCTCTGATAAAACGACGTTCAAAAGATTCTTGCTCATGCATTTTTGGTCGAAGCTTCTTACGTGTTTTAATAATTTCAATTGTTACTTATAATAATTCGAAGAATTAAATATAACTTTGATGAACTCGAACATGGATTTTCACCGCAGCACTGGCGATTGACCTTGGTTGCACAGAAAAAACCTTCAAGCGTTGAGTAGATTTTGAGATATTTTGGGTATTTTTGGTATATACACTATTTCATGGCAAATTCACGCAATTTTAAAAAAAATTTTAAGCTTCTGTAACTTGTTATCCTTGGATAGTTTACAATGGTTTGTCAATTTTTTCTCACTACCCAAGATAACGGTCAAAGTTGTTTAAATAGGAAAAAAAAATAATCAAGGTTTGATGATTTATAACTTTCAAAACTATTGACCGTTATTTTTGGCCATCAAACTTTGTGTTATTTGTTTGAAAATTGGAAAACTCAACATAATTTTTGCCGACCTTGAGACAATTTGAGTGACTTTTTAAAACCACAATCACGATTTGAAGTTACCTCCTGTAAGTTGTCCTTCGAGGCAGTCAAAAACAGGAAGAAAATTTCACGTTCAAACAATTCGGTCATGAAAAGTTCAGCCAATTTCAAATCAAATTCAGACAATTTAGTCAAAATGAGTGAGACAAGTGTCCAAAGACAATTCCGACGAAATTATTTTGTAAAACGTGCGCGCAAAAATTTTTCACAAGCGGCAAAACATCAAAATTTTAATTATATGACCCAGAATCAATTCTTTTCAAATGCACATAAAACGAACAAAAATGAAAGAACCAAAAGTACCTAAACATAAAAAAAATTTATAAAATCATTGTTTCTAAATTTAGAATAGTGACTAAAAAATCAAAATCAACAAAAAAAGCACAATGTTTTAAAGTTAAGCAATTTACTTGAGAGCAGACTTAAAAATGAAAATCTTCCAGGCGGGCAAAAACAAGGTCAGTTAAAGATTTGACCCCTTTTACCACTTGCTGGCTAAAGGTTACGCTTATATTCTTATCATGCTTATGATGGATGAGGATACAACCGCCTATCAGGATATTTGGTTGAAACTAATTTGAAACCTAAACTTCTTCACAAGAAAAACTAATTGCGATTAAAACCTTGTCCAATCAGAATCCAGTAGCGAGCTTAACGCCTACTTTATGCGGTTTGTTGCTACATTTACAAAATCAAAGTTGATTAGTCGTTATAAGTAACTAGTTTGAATAATTGGTTAATTAGTATCTGAATCTTTCTCATTCATTCAATTTTATCAAAATTTTTACTCATGAAATGGAATTTGTATTAAGTAAACGCAATTTTATGCAGCACCGACAACACCGAGAAACTCATCATCTCTTCGAAGTATAAAACGAATCAAGCTCAAGCCTAAGAAACAATGCCCAAGGCCCAAAAAAACTCAGAGCATTCCTGAGCCTCTCAAACTTACCAACAGCGGTAGTACTTTCTTATATTGCAATTCTGGTAAATCTGACAACCGCATTTTGGTATTTGGAACCTTACTTGCGCTTGATTTTTTTCTCTGTCCGAAAACTGTTTTTATCACGGAACGTTTTCATTAGCATCATATGTCTTCTACCAAGTTTGTACCTTGTATGGTGTGATCGAAAACACACTTAAACTCTTGGTGAATTTTGGAAAAATTAGTCTTTGAATTTGAAGCCGTTTTCGACAACGCCATTAAGAAAAAGCAGTCGGATTCATGTTTTCATTTTTTTTACTTGAACCAGGCAGTCTGACGCAATGTTCAAAAACTTGCGTATACGCGCAAGTACTTCGAAGTTGATGAGTTTCAACTGAATATTTAAAAAAAAAAGATTTTCTTGGCTTTTTTTCGCGTTGACGATGCAGCGTTCGCTTTGAAGAGCTGCGAAAAGAAAATCTTGCAGAAGAATTTCAAGAGTCTAGTGGACTACTTTGAAGACACCTATGTTGGTGCCTGTCGTGGAAACAGACGCGTAAAACCAAATTTTGAAATTGCTGACTAACACGTTTTAAACAGGGTGCTCAGCAGAGAACTTCGTACGAATGAAGCACTGGAGGCATAGAATGGCAGCTTGAAAAAAACTCGTGTCGAAAAAGCACCCAGTCAAAAGTTTCATAGATGAGCAAAAATTGCCAAAATTATTTTAGAGAGATTGATGGCCAATCATATTATCAAAAAAATGAAGCCCAAATCTTTAATCACCAATGAGAAGCTTGTGCTAAACTCAGGTAATTACAATCAAGACCATATACAGAACTATCAACTACTTTGTACCTTCATTGTACGTATATCCTAAAACTTTATGCAAAACAAACTTTGTTTTGATCTTTGAAATTGTGATTTGTTGTTTCACATATCCTTGTTAAAGTGTTGAACGCCTTCTGACTCTAATCAAAATAGAAAAATTTTAATCTTTTTTCATTTAATATTTTTAATCTGTTTCGGCTGAATTGTCTTTGGCTGAATTGTCTGTATTTGAAATTGGCTGAATTGTCTGTGGTTGAATTGTCTCTGCGCCAGAAAAATTACCTTCGGTCGTAATTCATTTCCTTTTGCTTCAAGAATTTTCCGGAACAACAAGAGGTGATGGTTGCTATACAAGAACACAGTTGCTCCAATCACAAATTTTTTTTTAGATTTTTTTTCTTTATTATTATAATGTTTAAGGAAGACTTGTGATTGAAGCTGTGCTCATGCGTAACAACCATCACCTTTTGTATTTCTATCAACAAATTCTTTAAGTGGACTGAAAGAACTACGGCGGAGGGCATTTTTTTATCCTGATTTGGATTGCTTCAAAGGAAAACTTGCAAGGGGTAATCAAAATGTTGTCATATTGAAATACCTTCAGCCGTGATATTGGTGACATTGACAGTTTTGTTTTATGACACTCAATTCACATTGTCCTAGCCAGGATTGGATCCAGAGTTTTCTCGAGGGGGAGGAGATTTTGAAAAAGCTTTAAAATTTTTTATAGGTCGACCATGTTTGCTTTTCAGAGCTCTCACAAATCATTATAACGACCCTATTTAAGCTGATTTGATCCAGAGACTGAATTGATCCAGACAGTGAACCTAAGAGGCAACTATGAGAGAGTTTTAAGCAAAAAAGCGGAAGCAAGGCATGTAATTAGAAGAAATTTTTCAGACAAATATTGAACCATTATTTATTAGAGCAATTAATTTTTTTTTATTTGAGGGCAAGCAAAGTTAGAAACATTTATTCGTTCACAGCCTAATTTGTTCAATTAACCTCTTAATGCTCTATTCACTTTGTTTGCTGTATTTTATTATGTTCACTAAGAAGATCAGACCCAACTCCTTGTTATTAACCACTTTCTGCGATGCAAGAGAATTTTTGCAAAAAAAACATTCAAAAAAGGCGTTTTAGTCATTTTAAGGATAGTTTTTTTTACTTTGCCCTTCTTTTTTGAAATTTTTGTTTAAATCACGGTAGTCGGAATATTCTGTGCTATTAGCATAGCAATCGGTTATCATTGTTTGTATTTATAGCTAGCTCCTATCTCAAAAAATGTTCAGAAATTCTCCCACGCATTGGATGCTTGGACGAAATGTTGAAATGCACGATCATTTTCAATTTTTGTTTCATCTGTGAAATGACATTTGGATTCATTGTTATGGTCGAAAAATGTCGACGACTCCAGCTAAATCTGACATTAATCAATTCATCCAGAGTTCATAATGTCATGAGATCGTTTGCATTTGAAATCTTCGAGCTCAATGACACTTCATAAAAATGGATTTGAATCTAGTTATTTCTTATTTCAAATATGATCTGTAATAACATTCATTTTGACAAATATTTGACTTCCTGGTCATAAAGCGCAATTATTTGCCATTTTAAACGCCTTTTAAAATCCAACAGCATCATTTAGAGTTTGTAATTTTAGTATTTTGAACAGTAACCTTCTATAGCTTTAACCAGTTACTTTTTTGCGCAAAAACTTTCTTCTACGTTAAGATTTAGCCGTAAAATCATGATCAAAACTCTTGTGCTTCTTTCGTTTGTCGGCCTTAGTTCCGCGAGGTGGTACAACGGGTATCACCTCGTCGCTGACGAAGAAGTCCCGCTGCAAGATTCGACATCCGATTTTGAAGTAGACGAAGAACTGGCAACTAAACTTCAAGATGACGAGCAATCGCTCGATGACGACGCCTACTCGGAACCCGAAGAAGAGTGCGACTACACGCTGATGCGAGGTGGATTCGGCGAGCTGAAATATGTTACTGACGAACAGCAACACTTTTTCGACTACAAACTGTTCGGTCTGTCCTCTGTTGCGAATGACTTGGGGCCTTTGAAAGCACTCAGCTACCGGGTACAGACAGTTGCCGGCAAAAACATTCTTTTTAAGGTGAGCAGTTTAGCCAGTTTGTATTCCTAGTTTTATCCCATCCCTCTATAATTCCCAAGTCTAAACTTTCGTCATGCAACTTTGATTAAATATTTTCTGACTTATTGTTGCTGCTTTACTTTTGCAGTTTCCAAACTGCCGATAAAAATATTCGACCTCTCATTCGGATATTTGTCGGAAAATTGGCTTTGGTAAATTGGCTTTGGAAAGTTGGTAAGTTAGTTATGGATTTTCTCATTATAGATTGACCAAATGATAGACAACTTTCAACCAATGAGAATAGCAGAAAACCATAAGAGTTCCTATTTGCCCGATTGCCAGCCCAATTGAGTAATCTGCTGATTTTGAGCTCGGCCAATATTGAAATAAATGTTCTAAATTTGATTGCGTTCATCGAAGTTTTCGCGATTTTTCCAGATTTCGGTTTCTCCATCATAAAAATTCCGGGGCTGAAGCGAGTTGTTTTTTATTTCGAGTTGTCGCGATACCAGACGCGTTAGCCAACCGGGAAGCAGCAAATAGCTTTTTAGGAAAACACAAATTATATCAAAAATTCTCATAGTAACTACTGCAAATAATACGAAGTTTTATTAAGAAGCACAAAAGTATTTAGGTTGAAACAATTACGATCACAACAAGCTATTTAGATGGAGGGAGAAGTCTTTATGTTGTTTTTTTGCCAACAATACGAGGCTAAACTGTGAACTAGATAAGCGCACAATTTGGTGTGTGTTGGTCTCTGGAATCCAGAAACAAGTCGTTAAACATTCTAAAATTTTGTTTTTCGGAACGACCAAAGAAAACGAAAGAACAAAATGAGAACAAAGAAAGCTTCCTTGTTGCAGAATCGCCTTAGAATTCTTAAAATACATAGTTTGTTAATGAAATCGGTAAAAAAACACACGTATGTTCGGCAGAATGGGGGGGGGGGGGGCGTAACCGTTTTTTTAATCGACTTAGTTAACGGCCAAGTTTTCAAATTTCGGGAGACAAAACAATTTTCTAACAATTTTCGACGACCCGACCACTTACGTTTTTTATGAAATCAGCATTTTTTGATGTCAAAATTGTTCTTCAGCAAACGAAACTAAATTTGGGTTGTAGCTGTTTGCGGTGCTGTTATTTTTCTTTGACATTTTTCAATATAGCTGGTCAATCGATGTTTTTGCAATTAAAAAATACATAGAAACTTTGTTTTATTGATGCTTGTTGTTCCGACCTTCGAATTAACTTTTTTTACTTTGGGGTGTTTTTTATTCGGTCAATTTTGCATCTTCAACTATGCATGTTTGAGGAATTTTTGCTAGCATCTGAAAGATATTGTTTTCCTGAGCTCAAATTTAAAAACATAAATAGTAAAACTATGGGGTTTTGAAATTTGCTAATATGACTAGTTTGGATTAAGTAATAGGCGATAGTTTGCGTTCTTATTACAAGCGTAAGCAGCGTTTTAATGCATTCCAATTTGAACTCAGGCTAATTTTTTAGTCTTTCAATTAGGATACTTGACGCTAATTACATTCTCTTGTAGTTTAGACTAGCTTTTGAGGGAACTGATCAGGCAAAAAAAGGAAAAAGGTCCTGTTCGTTTTCGTTTTTGTCAAGTTTTCAGCCAATTTTTTTTAAAAATTGGCCTTAAAGAGCAGTCAGAAGATTCCGAGTTTTTGTCTTAATATACGATCATTCTTGTTTGTTACTAAAATCAGCAGAATTTGAAATTACTGCAATTCAAGCTTTAGATGATATAATTTGGAATAGCCTCAATGTTCCGACCATTTGAAAAACGGGGAGAAACTTTGTATTCGGGCGTGTTTTAGCTTTTTTTTCTAGGCAAAAAAGAGGTGCCACAAATAATTTTTGGAATGGGTTGAGTGATGTATCATATTAAAACTTTTTTAGTCGTGGTTTGATAGATTTTTAATTTTTTGAAATTCAGGTCGAAAAATTCTGGTTGAAATTTTTATTTTTTGATCTAAACTCAAGCAAAAATTGCGTGAGAAGGCTTACATTTTTTTCAACCAAAATCTTTTACTCCAAATAATCATCGTAATGGAGAGATTGATTTAACTTATTAAAGTCCTTTCAATCCTGATTCTATCGACATTGAAAAAGGTTCAAAAATTTACTCCAATTTTTTAATTTTTAGTAATTTTAGTGCGAGTAAAAAACAAGCAGGCATTTTATAAAAAAAATAAGCCGCGACACTTAGTTTAACTCTAGTTAACTATATTTTTGAAATGTCTCAGCTACATTTTTTGAATAAAAAACTTCAAAAATTCAAGACAAATGCTGCAAAAACAATTTTAAAAAAATTAGATTTTTTTGAAATTTGGTTCTAGTCTTATTTGACAAAAGCCGTTGCTGATCTTACTGAGATTTTCAAATGAGCTTAAATTTCAGGTTTTCACAACGCCGCGCACAAAAAAAAACACTAATTTGAAAAAGTAACTATCATGTAATTTTGAAGAATTTGTCGGAACATTTTGTGCTACTTGCGCAACAGCCAGTTATCGTTGCTCAATTAGTCATCTGTTGTTTATTAGCTGTTTTCAGTTGACCAGTCTTTCGATCAATTTTGCTCTATTTTTCAAAAAAAGTTTCATGAATTCCGATTGGCTGGATTAAGTCAACTTTCGTTATGCGGTCATTTGAGTTTGAATATTGGAAAACTATTTTTTTTACTTTTAAAATTGACTATGAACTCCACTTGAGCATTTTTGCTCTCAGAAAACTGATTTCATAAACCATGTTTCTACGGATAAAAATGAATATTTGTTCTGAGTTCGGATGCACCCTGAATTAGGGTCTAATTGATTTTTGAGCCAGAAAAACGATAAATGGAGTTGCTGAAATATCCGTTCGGATACTTTTCAATCTAATTGCACTGAAAGTTTTATAAGATGCCTCCCCCAATGTAAGTAAAATTGTTTTGAGTTTTCTGATGTTTCTTTTTAAAATCTGCATAGCTGGTTAAGTAAATCGGAGTACTTGGTAACTCGAAAAAAGCTTGAAGAATGTGGAGCGGCTTTGAAAACTTCTAAAACAGCTATTTGGAACTTTAGGCAAACTCATAAAAGTTATATACTCAGTTGATCTCGAAAAATTATTAATAATACCTTCAAGCTCTTCGCAAAACTCAAAATCAAATTTTGACTTTTTGCGAATAGAAACCAAACAGTTGACTTGAAACTATTTGTTGATAACATTAACACATAACAAAATATGAAAAATTTACCGAAAAGATTTTCGAAAAAAATTGAAACAATAATCAAAAGTTTAGAAAAATTTTGTCGAACCAAAAGCTTAGTTCTGACTCAGTTGTAGTATGTATTGGCGCCAAATGAGCCTCAGGAAAAGTTTTGAGGTTGTTCGGCCGAAAGTTAAATGAGGTTTTTTCAAAAATATGGATTTTGTGCCGTACAATGGTTTCTTTTTAATATACAAAATTAAACTGCGAATTGAGTAAAAGTAGAAAAAAAAGTAAAATAAAGGGCGCTTTGTTGCATTTAGGCTGCAACAGAGGAGGGCCAGTTTGTTCACCTGCAGTTTTTCCTGCCCATCGGGGGTAGGGGGGATCCTCAGATGACGATGATGCACTATGCAACCGAAGAAGCGTGTTTAATCCCCCTCTTCTAAAAGACTCTTTGGTTGTACTTTCTCCATTTATTACAAATGAATAACTCAGTATAAATAAATATAATAAATAAACTAGTTTTCAAGATAATGCTTAACACGGACAAATGTGAGAGGTCGTCAAAAGGCAAATAGGTTGCATATCATTCAAATTAGAGTTTGAATGAAAGTTATTTATGTTCTCAAAAATAACCCAAGGTAACAGTTAACCATCACGTCAAAAAGGTATAAGTAAATCCCCCCCGACCTGAATCAAAGGACGCCTTGCCAAAAAAAATTGAGACCTACGGAGCCAAACCCTTACACACATATCTGATCGTATTTCCTTCAGTCATAAACGCTGATCAGAAGTTTAAACGCTGATCGAACTGATCTAAGTCAAGTAATTTGGTCATGTTGTTATAAAAATGCTAAATATCAATTTTGTGCAATAGTAGAAATTGGAGCTTTGCCTGATATTCAGACAGGGCAGCCTTGATAGCTTCCAGCAACCTAATAGTTCAAAATCTATGTTGACGTCATTTTTTGCAGATGGTATAGTGACTTTACTAAGCGCTCATTGCTGGTTGAATGCTTAGTACTTTTATCCTAAGTTATAAGTCTCGCCTAAGATCGTCAAGTTGTCTTGACAAAAGTTAGAGTAGAAACAATAGTTAGAAAAGGTAAGAATTAATTAGTTGGTTTAATACAAAGCACTGGGTTATTAGATTATATAAACGAATCGAACAGCTTAAAGAAATATACCTATGAGGGGAGGTTGAGTTAATCTTATTTTTTTCATCAATATTTTGTCTTCCTACTAAGGTCGATGGCTGATTAGTATTCTTGGGTCGCCCTTGATTGTGTCCACTTCGGCACTTCTGGTTTGGTCGTCAGTATCGTCTTTGCCGTAGTCCTTTGGGTACTTGTAGTCCAGACTTCCTCAGGTGTGGGTATCTCGAGTATCTCGATTTATAATTTTATCGAACTTTAAATGAGAATTTATTCTCTATTTATTTTATTTGTGAAAAAAGGCTAATTTAATTTTATTGTAAGGGCAGAAAAGAAAAATTATTTTTTTTTTGAAAAGGTCTGATTGAAGAGATCTAACTTGCTGCTTACTGAGCAAACTGAAACACTGAAGATTTCAGGCCAGTCCTTTTGCTCGTAAGCATAAACTGGCGGCTGATTCAATTTTTTTTATTCAGGTTTCACCTGCTCCTTTGTTCTCCTTTTCTTATAAGGGAATTTTCAACTAGTTTTTATTTGATTTTTTCAAATCAAATATCTTTAATTTATTAGTCCTCTTTGATTAAAACCGCAGCCTTCAGTTTTGCCTGGTTAAAAATTCATATTAATCTCTCTGATGCATCATATTGCAGATGCATCTCTGTTTAATCAAACAATGAGAATTTCAGTGCAGCCGGCAGGACTGCTAAATATTTATCCATTTTGTTTCAAGTTAAAGTTAAAAGGGACGTGTTAATAATCGCCGCCTTTTTAAAATAGTGAGCATGATAAAATGAGAAAAATTGGACAAGTATTTAACAAGTAGTGGATTTCCAAAACCAGGTTTTATAGTTCTAATAAGAGTAAATCAGTCAATATCTGATTTAGTGAAAAGAGGCTTTAATTTAAATGGCACGCTCCAATTTAGTATTGGGTCGTTAAATAAACAATAAAGACAATGGTCTTTTGTCTGTGTAGTATTTTCAATACTACAACTTACCCCTTTTTTAAAAAAATTAAGCTGTTCAATTTTTACAGTTACCATGGTGAAAATTTAAACCTTTTAATGATTAAATACTAAAGTTATAACATTGAAAAAGAACATCAAATGAAAAAGTTATGTAGATAGGTTAGGTTAATGGACTCAAATTAATATAAGGTTTTTGTTCTCAATAGCTCTAAATTTCGTCTAGAGCTTCCTTCCGGCTTCTAGCTCCAAATTGTACGATCTAAGAATCGCTATCTTCTTCTGTGAAGCCTCGAGTTTTTGTTGCAACTTAAGGATTTTCTTTTTTTTATTATTTTGTTCTTGATTCGCAGTCTGCTCATCCCGTCCGTAAGCTCTTGAATATCGTTTTTTCCTGTTTGGGTTTTATTTAGTTCAGGAAGGCAGTTGTTCCCTCAAACGGTATGGTACCTTGCGTTCCCCTTGCTTTCAGGATGTAGCCTTGCTCTTCTCTCTTCTTCAATTTCCAGAAGTTGTTTTCATCCTTTATCACCACCTCTTGTTGGCCTATAAACTCGACAAGTATCATCGCCTTTTCCATTGTCGTTGAGCTGACGACTTCAATAAACGATGGCAGTTTCCATCTATTGTAGTTTTGTTTTATTGAATACTTCAAACTCGTTATAAATTTTGGGTTTTCAGTATACAATTTGGCTTCTCTGCTCTTCTGCAGTTCCAATCTTTGATTCAAACTGAGGAAACTCCGAGGGTTCTTATTTAACCCGTCGTCAATTGACAAGGATTGTACAACTACAGACTTTCGTTGCTTCTTTCTGAAAGGCAATTTTCTTTTAAACTACTCGGGTGCTGGGTCAGCATTTTGGCAGTTCCAATTCAAAATTGGGTCATGTTCCATTTTCCTAAACATCAATATAAAATAAGTAAATATTCAAAATATCGAATTACTTTCGGATACTAAGGCTTATTATCAAATATTTGAACAATGAAGATCATTTATAAAAGTGTAAAATTGTATATATAAAGGGTGGAAAATATAATCTTGTGGTTTCACACAAACCCACCACGGAAAACAAATGAAGAAAGACGATCATGGTGTTTATTAACCACAGGAATACAGATTAAGAAAGACGATCATGGTGCTTATAAACCACAGGAATAAAGCATTAAACGACACTGAGTTAAACTCAGATATTAAAATTATGTTGTTAAAGTAAAAATGGAAATTTGGGCATTAATTAACCCCTAATTTTAAATGTATGTCAACCTGGTTGTCATAACCAGCAATTTTTGTTTCAATTTTTGATAAGAATTAGAAAAAATTTGAATTAGAATCAAATCAAAATGAAATATCGAAGAAAAGGAAAAATCAACAGACAAATTGCAAACTGTATAATATTCAAAAAGATAAGTGTATTAGTTTCTCTTTGGTTTTAATCCCCTGCACCAATCCATGTTAACAGTTTTAGTAAAGAAAAATTGATCTGATTTTAGGGATGTAAAATCTTATATAAGCAATCATAATAATGATGCCGTTCAAAGTGTTGCTTCGGAAGTTTGTTTTATTTAAGGGTTTAAATGCCTGCATGTTGTGGATTTTAAACTACCAAATTGATATTTTGGCCAAATTGTGAGGAGCGAATCATAAGAGTCTCAAAGGCTGCATACAGCCACAAACAAGCATTTGCGTTGTTGAAAAAATATGGTACCATAATTTTAAAAAAGGTACATAAAGCCACCAACAAATGCTGGCATAAATCTTCGGCGGGTCGGATCGAAAAACGTTTTTCGCCCATTTTATGATAAAGAATAATGATGAAAATTTTACTCAATGTGTTGAGAAGGAAGGAGGTGATATTTCCCTCTTTGATGAATTTCTTCTAGTTTGCATTTTGTAACTTGAAAACTACAAAGGTAATAATTAAGGTCATTAGTCCCTACTTGGGCCCTTAGAGGAATCCGATAGTTAAAATTAACTTCGCAGAATGAGTTTGTTACAATTTTACATTGGCTAGATCTTTTATCAAAGGTTTCAATCTATGAATTCTCGTTATTGTACGTAGGGTAATTTGACATTCCCTCAAGTGTAATACTGAATACTCAGTTAATAAAACCGCCTGAAAATGAAATTATTATAGACTCGTAAAACTGTAATATTTTAAACTCCTGGCCTTTTGCATTTTTTTGCAATTATCTTGAAGTCGAAAACTTTTTTGTCTGAGCCATTGGGTTCCGATCCCTCTATCTTTGTTTGATTTTGAGGATGGTCCAAAATTGTTAGCGTACTTGACTGTTTTCGATCTCGGTAAAGAATTAAATCCGTGTTCATGGATTTTGGCATATCCTTTTGGGTATCATACAGAACCGCTATTCATTGTAGTATATTTGTAGGATAATATTCGTAATGTTATTTTTTAGTAATATTAAATTAAGTTTACTGCTCAGTATACAAAATATTAGGTAAACTTCAAAAAAACTTTAAGCGTTATAAAAGCTTTAATGAAAATTTCACATTTATAAATTTTTTAAAGTAGGAAGAAATGGGTTTTTTTTTCTATGTTTCAAACGTTTGGCCCATTACACCTTTGATTATATCTACTTTTGATTCTCTGGAATTTTTTAGTACGATAGGCATTGACTTAATTTCATTCCTACAATAAATGCTTTTTGCATTAATGCCTTTTTGTTCTAAGGATTTATCAGTTCTAAATGATGTTCCTACTTTGAAAACTATGCCTGCTGGAGAAATTGAATTTACGTGGGATGATTTTGGTGCAATACTTATTTTTTTTTATCCAGAAGTACATTTTGATAAAAGCTTAGATATGGAAAAATTTTGCTTCTTAAAACACTAATAGGAACTGTTATATCTGGGTATTTTTTTAATTCTAAGTTTAAATATGGAAAGTTTATTGATTTAATGTTGTGAGAATCGAAATCCATTCCTAAAATATTTAGATCGCATCCGTTCTCGGCTAAAATCCATGCTTTGATTTTTACCGGATTATTCAGTGTTTGTACCAAAAGTTGAGTCAAAATTAGTATAACTTAAAAGTTTAAGTTTTTCTCCATTAACAGCAACTGTGTTTGATCTAGGTTTATTCAGCTGTAGAGGCTGTATTTTTCAATATTGTTCATAACTGTCAAAATTAATAAGCGAACATGTTGCTCCAGTGTCTAGTAGAAATTGGGTTTCCAGACCGTTATTTTTATTTCTGTCTCCGACGGGATGTTGGTATAAGTTAATGTATAATTGTAATTTTGGTTCAGACGGAGACTGATCTAGTTTAAATTAACAAATTCACACTCATTGTCGGTAAAATCTCCTGGAATGTCATCATCACTAAAGTTGTGGATTTGGTAAGGTTCAGGATAATCGTTATTTTCGTTGAAGGGTTTTTCACTGTTAGACCTGTCACGCGATTGAGAACTTTCCTTGAAGTTTGACAAATGCCTGAATTCTTGTTGGTGATTTATGTCATTGAAATTGTTGTCTACTCTTGACCTATTCTTGCTATAGTTATGGTAACTTCTGTATGAATTCTCTCTTAATTGAGGCGAGTCATAATTTTGCTCCTGTTGATTGTTAAATTTAAAGCAATGTCTTATTGTATGGCCTGACATGCAAAACCATTTGCAAACAAAAATTGGGTTGTTTTGTTTGTTTCTATGCTCATGTGGATTATAAGCTGCGTTTATATTATGATCCTTCATTATACCTGTTAAATCTTTAAGTTGATGCTTTATTCCTTCTATTTCCAATTTATTATTTATGCTACTGGATGCTGTTCCGATAAACTCACTACTTACTGCAAAACTTAAGTCTTTTGTTGCAATATGATCTTTTAATTTGTGCCATGTTGCGGGTGGATTCTCAATTAGGAATTGATGAGCCTTTTCTTTCAAGCCTGGCGGGCTTAAGCCGCGTACAAAGAATTCAATTTTCTTTGCTGTTCTTTGATCATCTTTAAAAGTTGGATTAGGCTATCCACGGTCTACTGCGGTGCTTAAACTATGTATGTAGCTTTTAATAAATTCATCAGGTTGTCTTTTTATGTTTTCTGCTTCTATTCGTCTCCTATACTTATCCTTATCATCAGTGAATCTATCTATGAATTGATCACTTATCTCGTTCCAAGGTAAATGTGCTGCTAATCCCTGATAAAACCAAATAAGGCTCTTTGTCTGTTATCATATGCGTCCTGTTCGTCACTTGCGTCTGCTGGTCTAGTGCCTAGGGAAAATGCTATATTTTTCTCTACTATATCAAAAAAATCTCTTGCATCTTCATTTGGATCTGAGCCGGTAAACTTTTCGAGAGCTAAATCTGGGTATGCTATTATGTTTGCCGTTTTGTTTAATTCACTGAAAATTTTGTTAACAATATATGAAGGGTTTGGATGTGTTGTGTACTGATCAATTGTAAGGACTGAAATAATTGTATTTAAATTACAGTAAGATTTGCTGGATTCAATGAATACAAGTTTTTATTAAATAGATCAATAGTGCTATGAGGCTGTTTAAGCTTTTTCAAGATAGAAGTTATCTCTGGGGTATTTTAAATATTTATCTAGGTGATGACAAACAATATAAGGAATATTTACAATTTTCTTATGAACTTGTTGTTCCGACTTTCGAGACGAAAGTAACGGAATATTTGTGCTCGGGGTGGGTTTTTTTTTCTTCAGACAAATTTCGACTTTTTAACCAGCCATTTTTGACGGAATTTTTCTATATCACTCAATATGTTGTCTTAAGCTTAAATTTGAAAATATATATTACCTGTGATCATTTTTCGTAAAGTTATGGGGGTTTAAAGATTGCCATTTTGGCCAATTTGGGACAATTAACGCGCGATATATTTCGCGCTATTAACGCGTAAGCGGAGCTTTAATCCGTCTTAGAAATCAATCCAAATTGGTTAAAAGAAGCTTATTTGCCATAATTGGTTTGTTACAAGGAGCGAAATCTATCCTATTGTACTTTGTATTCGTGTGGGGGGATGATTTTCGTAAAAAACTTCAAATTTTTGAAATTGTTTTTTGATTTTGTTTTATTTCCTTGAATTTTTTAATGTTATTACTGCTCCATAAACCTTAAAAGGCAGTCGGAACATTCAGGCCTTTACCCTGATACGAGCAGTCTTGTTTTGATTTAAATTTTGTTGAGGAAAAATGTGTGTTTCTAATAAAAAATGATTAAAATGCAAGTAGTTTTGTGCTTGGGTATATTATGATGTTGTAAAGCAATCGGGAGTGAAGCAATTAATCGTTCTTGCGGTATATAAATTATATGATTTGGTATTTTTATTTGCTGCAGAATTTTGTCAATTTCTGGAGTATATTGTCAAAAAAAGTGGTATAATTCGTGTTTATCGTCATTAGGGTGTTTGCTAGTAAACTAATTTGATCTTGTTTAGTGTTAGTGATATACCATATGATGTTAGAGACTTTATTTCCTAATTTGAGTTTTAAAGTTATTGTACTGACAACAATTTTAGAGTGTGTTGACATTAGTTTTCACGGTGTTTGTTTTCTTTTTCTTATGCTAAGTTGTACTATTTGATTAGTTTATTTTAGAGTAATGGAAACCTCTTAGGAATTATTGAATATTAATAAAGGTTATTAATAATGAAATAAGAAAATCATAATAAAAAATTTCTTTGGAAAAAAAAATTTCTATAAATTTTTTTCTAAGTTTTTCAAGCTTTTTGTTCGCTGAAAACTTAACTGAAACCTGAAGCTTTTTTTAACCTGAAACATTCAAAAAGTTTTGAGAAAAAGGAATCTTTTGATATCTTAAACCTAGTTTTTGAAATCTCAAACCTAAAACCCTTAAACTATCTCAAACTCGATGCATGAAAATAAAAAGTTGGTTTTTGATAGCTGGTCTAGTGTAAATTAGAATTATGAACAGGTTTGTAACTTCGATATCACAAATTTGTTTGCGGAAACCTAAGTTTTTGAGGCTGAAACTTTGATTTCTAGAACTGAAACTATGGTTTGACCATTTGGTTTTAGAAAGTTGGGATTATAAATTTAGGTTGATATCTTTATTATAGTTCTATTCCAGCAAAAAAAGTGCCAAAAAGATGAGGGCTTAAATTAACACCTTCTAGAAGTTTTTCGAGTTTAAAAATTGATTAATGCATTAAGGATTCCTATTATTTTTCAATATTTTACAAAAAATTCACTTGGGAAGCAAGATTTTTGGGTCTGAAACCAAAAACACCAATTCTGAAACGTACGTTTCAGCCTAAGGAACCAAATTTTAAAACTTGTTTGGTTGGTTTTAACACATTTTGTTTTCTCTAGAAAGTCAAAATTTGGCGTTCGGAGCTCAATTTTGAGACCAAAAACCCAATTTTTGTGTTTTGAAACCTGAAACTAACAAAACTTACCATTTAAGACCAGGTTTTTGACTTATGGTATCCAATTTTGGGTTTCACTAGTTCAACTTTCGCTGTTTTACCCGAATCCGATTACATAAATTTAAAATTGTGACCGGAAACTATACTTATTTTAACTAAAACGTTTGACCCTATAACTGAAACCTAAACTGAAACCAAAAATTTTCGCTGGTAAAAATCAATTTTCTAGTGCTTAGGCTATCATATGAAACCCAGTTTATCAATATAAGGTGGATGTGTCAGTGTTCTTGCTTTAGTTTTTGTTGTGAAACCTAATATTTTTGTGCTGAAACTAAAACTTGGTGTTTGGTCATATGGGGTTAACGTTTAAGATTGGTTTTGGTGCGTTTTTTTATGTTTATTAGGAGTATACTCAAACTGTGTCATAAAAAAGTAATGATTTAGTAAAAAACACCCAAATCCGTTCCTTCTTTCTTCGTTTTATTTATTTCCTCCCTTATTTTCAGTAATTGGTAGCTTGAATGATGGTTGATTTAGGTTTAAGTTAAGTTAAGGTGGGTAAAATTAAATTGAGATTAAGGAAAATTGAGAATAAGCCTCGATAAATGGTGAAAGATTAGAATAAATAGCAACAAGCGTGAATGGTTGGGTTTATTGTGATAAAGAATTCAATTTATCATACAATTTAAGGTACTCTTATATCGCACATTTGACCACTTAACCCCCTCGAAAAAAAGGACTGAAGATATTTAATAAGTTTTTGAGCACTTTAGTTCAATACAGGATTTCGTTAATTTTAGTGATGATAACTTTAAACTGAAGTTTCGGCATACATTTAGTGGATTATTAGACAAAACGGGTATATCTCACTAGCGGACTTAGGCAGAAAACGATTCTTTCAGAAATTTTATATATTTTTATAATAATAGATAATAGTTAAGTTCATGAGCTAATGTCAGTTAGAAAGCCGTATAATAGACCTCGAGGTGGAGGAATATCGTAGGCAACTGTTAGCGCAGGGGATACTTATCGCAAGAACCCTACTAGGAATATCTGTCAAGTAGAAGACAATGAAATTGTGTTTCTATTGAAAGATACCCATTGTCTCTGGCTTTTTGAGGTTGGAAACTATTCTGAAAAAAACTCACAGATCCTAATATTAATATATTTTTTTGAATTTCAAAAAGCTGTCTCGAGTTTGTTCGAAAAGGAATTTCTTAAGGAGTAGTTCTCTGCTGCGGTCGCACCAGTTTTACTAAGCGCTCATGGCTGGTTGAATGCTTAGTAATTTTATCCTAAGTTATTAGTCTCACCTTAGATCGTCAAGTTGTCTTGACAAAAGTTAGAGTAGAAACAATAGTTAGAAAAGGTAAGAATTAATTAGTTGGTTTAATACAAAGCACTGGGTTATTAGATTATATAAACGAATCGAACAGCTTAAAGAAATATACCTATGAGGGGAGGTTGAGTTAATCTTTTTTTTTTCATCAATGTTTTATCTTCTTACTAAGGTCGATGGCTGATTAGTATTCTTGGGTCGCCCTTGATTGTGTCCACTTCGGCACTTCTGGTTTGGTCGTCAGTATCGTCTTTGCCGTAGTCCTTTGGGTACTTGTAGTCCAGACTTCCTCAGGTGTGGGTATCTCGAGTATCACGATTTATAATTTTATCGAACTTTAAATGAGAATTTATTCTTTATTTTATTTGTGAAAAAAGGCAAGTTTAATTTTATTGTAAAGGCAGAAAAGAAAAATTATTTATTTTGAAAAGGTCTGACTGAAGAGATCTAACTTGCTGCTTACTGAGCTTAATGAGTCAATAAAAGAAAAACGTTTTAAAACCTTTGAAGATTACTTAATAATAAAAACTCCGAGTTTTTTAGTAAAAAAGACTTTTTTGGCTATTAAACAAAACACATACTCCTTTTAAGATTTTTGGAGGTTTTTAGAAATCTGTTGACCTGTGCAATAAGCTTTTTTGACATAATTTTTTCTCAAATAAATTGGTTGCTTAAGCGTACTGCTTGGTTATTGAACAAAAGCAGAAATCAACCAACTTTAGGGTTAAATTGCTGCTCTGAGTTTCGCAAAAACAAGTTACAAGAAAATAGTTCTGAAGAATTTGAAGCAAAATTTGTGCTCTTCTTCTTTTTGTGGTGTCCTTATCCATTTTGAGAAAGAAGTTATTGAATTATTCAATGTTGTTGGTTTGCTTTTTGTATTTAAGCTGTCACTGTACCATCTGGAGTTCTTTGTCGTCAACAGATTTTGAAATATTGCAGATTTTGAAATATTAGATGCTAGCAAGAATGCTCGATTGTTTCGACTGCACTACAAATATAATTAGCATCTGTCTTAATTATGAGATCAAATGACCTGCATCACTTTAATTTGGAGCACAAAAATCTGCCGTCTAATCGTGTTGGAAGAAAGCAGAAAAATGCGCATTAATTATCTAAAATAGGTCTAATTAGCACTTTTTAAACTATCGTAACTTACAAAAAATTATCACAGTTGATTTTTTAGAAGTGAGATCAAAACAAAACTTTCTTTCAGATACAAAAAATTTTGTCATAAAAACTTAGTAAAATAGTCGAAAAATAGCCGAATTGTACTAACCTTATGTTATTCTTTCTCAAAATTGGTTTGATCTCATAGCTTTTATAATGGCGACTTGGGCGCCACCAATAATTACTAATTTTGAGGGTGAAGCGCGCCCAAATAACGTACGTAATTATTTGGTCAAAATTTTAAAAAAAAAAGTTTTCTTTTTTTGGCTTTTTTTAAAGAAAATAATTGTCAAAATAAAGTCTTCATAAAGAACCAGAAAAAACAATTTGTCCGACCTACAATAAAATCAACAAAATTTCTGAAAATTATTAAAAGTTCGGCCCTACTGAAAAAATTCTAAATCAGGTCCTGCTTTCAAACCATTTTTAACCTACTACAATTTCTACTTGATAAAGTTAGGCCAATTTTTATAAAAACATGATTTTTATATATATATTGGCACATAATGTCTACAGAAGTCATGAACACTTTTTAACATATTTTCAACAATTTATGGGCTTATTATAATTATATTTTAAGTCGATTTATTACAGATTATATACAGATAACATGCGGATTGCATACAGGTTTCAAAAAAAAAAATTTTTTCGCCACTTTTCTCAAAAGCCGAAATATAAAATCAATTTCAATAAAAAATGCTCTTTTGACTCATGAAAATTGATGAAATGAAATTTTTCAAATTTTTGTAAGAACATTAAATAGTTGATCTTTTTATGGGGTGCTTCAGATAAGTTTCCTCAGTAACAAATCACACCTCGCAAAAATAATTGAGATGCGTTAGATAAAAACTGTTTTAACTTATAAGTCAATTTAAAAATTTGCTTGCATGATGCTAAATATATTTCAGGCTGCTGGCTGATGGAAAATTTTGAAAAATGTAATTTTTTAAGACGTAATTGAAGTAAATAGTGGTGGATGCTTTAGAAATAAATTTAGTTTTGCAGATTTAAAAATTTTTTACCCACCCATTTACGCTCTGTGTGATCCTTATAATGGCAATAACAAAAAATTACTGCACATTTTGATAAGCCATCAAGAAAAAAGATTTTTGATCGTAAGTAATTTAAATAAATGACTTATCCAAACAAATTAAGCTCATTATTAACTTAAAAATCTAATTTATTTAGGTTCCTTAACATCGTTTGTCTTGAAAAGACTTCATTTAATTTTTAACAAAACATTTTTAGGATGCTTCTGGTCAAAAATTTGATGTCCATTGATGAACTGTATGATGTTGTGGCATAATTTGTGCTCAAATGGTTTTTATCATGATTGTTTCTGTGTTTTTTTGGATGTTTTTGCGGTCAAATTTTAGTTTTCGATGATAATTTTCATGTTTTTTAAATATATATCTTGCCTCAAACTCAATTGGATAATTTCATTAAATTTTTAAGCTCCACGTTTCTCATATTCTGAAATATTTTTTTTTTTTTAGTTTTTGAAATTTATTTATCTTGCGTTTTAAATTCAATTTTCATTTTATGATTTTTTGGAGGAGGTTTTTCAGGGCAGTTTTTTTTAAAAAATTGATTTTGTTTTTAGACAAAATAACTTTTTTTCAGAGCAGCTTTTTTAAATTTAGGGCAATTAATTTTGTTTTTCGACAAAATAACTTTTTTGCCAGAAGAAAAAAAAACAATTTTTCAGTTCATACTATCCAGTTTTCTTTCACCAATATAGGGAATTGTTTTAATGGTATAAAATTTCTATTTTTTTCTAATTTTAGCGTCTAATCTGGTTACATTTAATGAAAACTTACCCATAGACAATCTGTAAAAAGTTTTTGAAATTTATTTATCTTGCGTTTTAAATTCAATTTTCATTTTATGATTTTTTGGAGGAGGTTTTTCAGAGCAGTTTTTTTAAAAAATTGATTTTGTTTTTAGACAAAATAACTTTTTTTCAGAGCAGCTTTTTTAAATTTAGGGCAATTAATTTTGTTTTTCGACAAAATAACTTTTTTGCCAGAAGAAAAAAAAAACATTTTTCAGTTCATACTATCCAGTTTTCTTTCACCAATATAGGGAATTGTTTTAATGGTATAAAATTTCTATTTTTTCTAATTTTAGCGTCTAATCTGGTTACATTTAATGAAAACTTACCCATAGACAATCTGTAAAAAGTTTGATTATAATCAATTGCAACCTTCATTTTATCAATGCGGGTAGTCATACAAATCATCACTTTAAAAAATCTTTTCAGATCTGTCTGACTGAATAAGTTGATTTCATCATTCACTATACTAAATATTGCTTTTTTTCGATGTGACTAAAGAAGTCGGTTTTTGTTCCAATCATGTTAAGTCGGTTGTGTTTTAATTTTTTGTTTTTCACTCAAAAACAGCTACAACAAATAATCATCGGAGGGAGTTGCGTGATATATCATATTAAAACCATTTTATTCCTAATTTGAAAGACATTATTTCCCAGTTTTGAGAAATACAGTTTGAATCTTTGGATTTTTTGCTTAAAGTCATGCGAGTTAAGCGAGCGAGGACGCTTATTTATGCTATATTAAGGCCGTTTACAATTGCCTATGTTGCTTAACTTAATTCTGGCTCAAGTAAAACTAATTTTTGGAGATTTTTGATGCCACTTAGGACTATGATTGGAACATTATGGGCTACTTGCACAGTAAAATGCTGTCCTTTTTTCTTCTTATTTTGCTTCTTTTATGGTGACCTATTCTAGTGCCTTTGTAGTCAAATTGCAATTTTTGAGGAAAAAAAACTGACGCATAAAGTTTTGGTCCAAAGAGACGACCAAATCTAGTGTTTTTTTTTTACAAAATAGCGAACTTAGAAGTTAGGCTGGCTCTATTTGAAAAAATTTCCTTGCAAACTTGCTCTTTTGTAAAGTCAACTCTTGCCTCGAAACTAATTTAGAAAATGCTATGTATACTTGATGTTCAGATCACCGTCCAAAGAATCTAAATCCAATACCGGTTTTTCATGGGTAACCATAAGTTGCTGAAAAAGACTAAGAGAGCAATCAGTTTATGTCTAAGATCTCTGCTTCTCAGTCGAAAAGTCGATGATTCGAGACCGACTATTATAATTTGTGCCCACTTTGAAAAAAAATTTTTTTTTGAAAACGAGCAGGTCTCAGGCCGATCCAGAAAGTCCAGGGAAAACCCTACAAGACGTTAACACAGTTTTCCCTTTGCCCGGCCTGGCTCCAGGGATGACTCCAGGGATGGACTGCCATGTGCAGGTAACCTGGGAAGGCAGCAATTCACAGCCCAGGAAATTAAATTTTCCTCTGTGAAGATCTGAACAGCTCAAATTTCAACAACTTTCTTCGCAAATAATTGGCTTTACTAGCCTAATAATTGAACATTTTGCTAGTTAATCAGTGCTGGAAATCTAAATATCTATTTGAAAACGGGTATCGAAAGATTGCTTAAGCATATGATTGAAAGGTTTAGCCGCTGCCATAAAAATTTTTTCTCCCGGTCATTTTTTGTTGTAATTGTATACTCATAAATTATTCTGATTTTACCCACTACAAATTTGCAAATCAAAAACATCAGTTTTTAGCTTATAACTTACTCAGTTTAAACTATGCCATTATTCAATTTTAGACAAGCGTATATGATTAAAATGTTTTTATCACTCCGCTTCGAGCTCGGGTTCTGGCTCCGGTCCTGTTTCCGGTTCTGGTTGGGGCTGAGGCTCGGGTTCTGGTTCTGGTTCTGGTTCTGGTTCCGGTTCCTGTTCTGGTTCTGGCTCGAGTCCCGGTTCCTCTTCCTCCATTCCCCCGATATTGCCGTTTTCGAAATAGGCTTCGTCATCGTCGGCTGTGGCGTCTTGATACTGTTGATACTCGGACACCAAGTCGTTCATATTACTCTCCGCTTCAGTGAACTCCAACTCGTCCATTCCTTCCCCTGTGTACCAGTGCAGAAAAGCCTTCCGGCGAAACATAACCGAAAACTGCTCACTTACTCTTTTGAACAACTCCTGAATCGCAGTGTTGTTTCCGATGAATGTCGCCGACATCTTCAGACCCCGAGGAGGTATATCGCACACAGCTGTCTTGACATTATTTGGAATCCATTCGACAAAGTAGCTACTGTTTTTGTTCTGAATGTTCATCATTTGTTCGTCCACTTCTTTCATCGACATTCTGCCTCGGAACATAGCAGCTACTGTCAAGTACCTTCCGTGTCTAGGATCGCACGCCGCCATCATGTTCTTAGAGTCAAACATCTGCTGGGTCAGCTCAGAGACACTTAAATTTCTGTACTGCTGTGACCCTCTAGAGGTCAAAGGAGCGAATCCTGGCATGAAAAAATGGAGTCGTGGAAAGGGAACCATGTTAACAGCCAGCTTCCTTAGATCTGCGTTCAGTTGTCCCGGGAAACGAAGACAAGTCGTTACTCCCGACATCGTAGCCGAAACGAGGTGGTTCAAGTCTCCGTACGTCGGGGTCGTCAGCTTTAGAGTACGGAAACAGATGTCGTACAGCGCCTCATTGTCAATGCAGTAGGTTTCGTCCGTGTTTTCCACCAACTGATGCACTGACAATGTCGCGTTGTAGGGTTCCACGACAGTGTCCGACACCTTTGGGGAAGGGACGACCGAGAAAGTATTCATGATTCTGTCGGGGTACTCTTCTCGAATTTTAGATATGAGAAGGGTCCCCATTCCGGAACCAGTGCCCCCACCAAGGGAGTGGGTCATCTGAAACCCCTGTAGGCAGTCGCATGACTCGCACTCTTTCCGTACGACGTCCAACACCGTATCAACCAACTCAGCGCCTTCTGTGTAATGGCCTTTAGCCCAGTTGTTGCCAGCACCTGATTGACCTGAAATGTAGGTCAATAGTATCGTGTTCAATTTTTTCATCAAACAGTCTTACTTGGAAAAACATTGCTTCATGTTTAATTATATAAGAGACTTGTTAAGAAAAAGATTACGATCTCAAAATAATTTAAGTGACACAAAAAACTTTAGAAGTCATGAAACTTTACGAGACAAAATCAAAATTAGTAGTTAATGCGGCTTTGAGTAACAGAGTATTATAGCGAAACAAATTTATTTTATAACCTCGACGATAAATACCGGATTCAATTTTTTCAGTAGAAGCCCTTCAATCTTGATTTTAGTCTCTGAAATAAGCATTTTTTTTCAACAAACCGAAGACGAAATTATCAGGTCTGAAAATCTGGCCGAAGGGTCCGGACCTGACTGAGTCCATAGTTCCCGGCTCCAGATCTACCAGCACTGCTCTGGGTACATACTTGCCCCCTGCTGCCTCATTGTAGTAGACATTGATGCGGTCCAGCTGTAGGTCGGAGTCCCCCTGGTAGCCCCCGGAGGGATCGATGCCGTGCTCGTCCGAAATCACCTCCCAGAACTATTTTCACACCAAAGCATTAAACATTTTGCCCAAGGCTCTGGTTTCAATAACCAGAGAGCTAGCTTACAAATTTAAACAAAATTTGCCAATCAGAAAATTCCGTAAGCTTCATTTTTGGATCTGATTGATTTTTTGAAAATATTCCCCTAACGCAGTTTCAGGTACTAACTGATATTTTTTGCGTCCGTCAAGCATTGTTAGACAAAAAACTTTAATTTGCCGAATAGATTTGTATCGCTTTGAGGTGTGGAGGTGTTTTAGATTTACGTTAACATTAAAAAATAGAACATCTCAATAAGATATTTGATATTTTTTATAAGTTTTTTTATTTCTTCAAATTGGTAACGTTTGACCGCGTACATGGTTTGTTCGATGTTCTGGTCTTATAATTTTTTCTGACCCTTCCGTAATTGGATGAAGCCAAAATAAAAGCGAAAGATGAACTATAGTAAACTTTGACAACCTCAAAAATCGTGAAAACAATGGCTGTGAAAACAATAGTCGTAAATGCAAGCAGGTTTACAGTGACATCAAAATTTTAAGAAATCCAGAGCACCAGGTTAGTAAAAAAAAACTTTAATTACACGTTTTGGTAGAAATTATATTTAAAAACCTTTTGGCAGAAATTATATAATTATTAATTTTTACTTTTTTTGTCGCACTCGGTGGTTGCTAGGCTAAACTTGCTTTTCAAATCTTCAATTTGTGCCCTTCTAATTTAACAAAGGGAAATTTGCTAATATGTCTAATACGGATAAGCAAAACTATGCTTTAGTGTGCTCTTTTAGAAAACCCATAATTGAAGGGAAAGAAATCCATAGTTAATTTATACTTCCTTGTGGTCTGGCGGAAACCTTTTTACCAATGAAAATTGTTGAAACTTTCATTGCTTTTATACGCGCTCAATTTTTTCCATTCGAAAAATTCAGTCAATTCTGCTTTTCAAATTTCATTCTTATAACCTCACGTTAGTTTTGATTGTAATTTAGGTTCTTTTAAAACATATATTGCGGTTTGCTTCTTTTGCTTTTCTGGAGATGTGCGTAACGGATGGTTTCACCTAATATTTGTTGAGGCAAAAAAGCCTTAGAGAGAGTATAAAATTTTTTTTGAAAGCAATGGATCTAAATTAGTTTTGATTAGTTTTTTTGAAGTATATTTGTGCTTGGTCTTGTTTTTGTTCTGACTTTCGATACGAAAGTAACGGAATATTTGTGCTCTGGGTGGGTTTTTTTTTCTTCAGACAATTTCCGACTTTTTAACCAGCCATTTTTGACGGAATTTTTCTATATCACTCAATATGTTGTCTTAAGCTTAAATTTGAAAATATATATTACCTGTGATTATTTTTCGTAAAGTTATGGGGGTTTAAAGATTGCCATTTTGGCCAATTTGGGACAAAACGCGCGATATATTTCGCGCTATTAACACGTAAGCGGAGATTTAATCCGTCTCAGAAATTGTTCCAAGTTGATTGAATAAGTTTTATTTGCCTTAATTGCTTTGTTAAAAGGAGCAAAATTTATCTTTTTGTACTTTATATGGCGTGTGGGGGGATGGTTTTTACAAAAAATCTCAAGTTTTAGAAGAAAAATAATTAATTTTATTTTATTAGATTTATTTTTTCATGTTATTACTGCCCCATAGGCCTCAAAAGGCAGTCGGAACATTCAAAGCTTCGCCCTGATACAAGCAATCTTGTTTTTTTTTCAAAACAAATTTGCACTTTCAGACAATATGACCACTTTTTGGGAATTATTAAATACGCTTTGGAATTTTTTGATGTCCTAAACTCTGCATTTAAAATAAATTCATTTGCGACCATTGCTGTGAGATAATATGGGGATTAGAAATTGCCGTTTTGACCAAGTTTGGATAATTAGTGTGCGCTATTTACAAGTTTTGAACCTAGTTTTAAACTTTACACCCTATAAGCCATATTCTGCCAGTTCAGCTAACCCTTGCTGGGTCTGATTTGTTGTGGGCGAAAGCTACATAACTTCTACTGGCCCTGATTTCTTTTGAAAGGTGACAAAGAGCTACAAAAAGTAGGGGGAAGCGTATAATCTCCCCGCATAATGATTTTTGAAACGTTTTGAAAATTTAATTTCAAACAGGCACAAAAAAAATGAATTAGTTTACAAAATTTTGAATAAAACAGCTATTTTATTTTGATATTTGCATGAAATAAACTTTTTAATAGTTTTTATTACACTAAATTCGTTGAATCTACTCAAAAATAACCCTCCCTATGGTATCTACTAAAAAAATTGTGCGACGCCTATAAAAAAGCAGTAAATTAGCACAAGAACATTCTAATTAAAATTCTAATGAAACTTCTAACTAACATTCGAAAGCTGCGCTCCCATTGAACAAAGATTTGACTAACTTAACCTACTTAACATTGCATCCCACTTTCTTGAAAGGGGGTATTGTTAAGTAGGTCCGATGTTTTAAATGAATCATTTTAGGCTGTACTTAAAACTAAATTCTAGGAAACATCATAGTGAACTTTCGAAAAAATAATTAGGATAAGCAAAATGAAACAATTGCATTGCAAATAATTTGTGTTGGTTTAATGTATAATTGCCATCGATTGCTACATTATGATAACTTCTACATGTGATTTTGAGAAATTTTCAATTCTTGTTTGATCTAGCATGGGATTAACCAAACAAACAAACAAACACACTACCATCCTTAAGCAACGCAAAACTGCTCGCATATCAGGGCAAAACCTTGAAAATTTGTCGACTGCCCCTTGATCCATATTGAATAAATTTTGGGAAAATAAATCATTGAAAAACTGTAAACTTTGGTATTGAAATCAACGGTGAAAATTGGAATCACACAAAATAAATACGACGTTGATATTCTTTTCAAATTTTCAAAGAAAGTTAGCAAAGCTTATAGTATTTCTTTTTTAGAAAATTTTCGAGGAATCATTTTTAAAATTTAAATAATACCCAATTTATGAACGTAAAAATCAAAAATTACAGCACGTTCATCTATTTTTTGCGTGGATTCGGAAATCGTAGTTTTTTTTTCATTTTGAGCGCTGGAAAGATGAAAAGACTTTTGCTCCATCTTTTGCTTTTTTCATACAAATTGTTGAACTCAAAACTGTTTTAAGCAAATTTCAATTGCTTGTGAGTGGATTTCCAGAAAAAAAAACTAAAAATCATTAAAATGTTCAATTCTTGTTTTGGCTATAGTTTTTCAAAATTTTCACAAGTTCTGTATTTAGTGTTTCTTCTTTTAAAATTTTGAAAACTTCTTTCTTTTTGGTTTATTGCATTAAGTTTGTTTTCTTTGAAGTTTATTCGGAATAATGGACAAGTGTGATTTATTCAACCGAAGTAACAACCAACTGAAAACTAACCAAATTTATGAACCAGACTAAAGTTTTGTTGCCGAGCCTTTTTGCCAAAAAAATACATCAATTGAGTGAAACTTGTATGATTTCTCCAACTGTTTCATAATTGTTGCAGCGATCTTCAATAACAGTTCTGTTTTTTTTTCGGCTGATTGATAGTTGATATTGTACCTGGCCAAAATTATGGCTGATCTATATACCACCAATGTGGTCACAATTGGTCACTAAAATCATCTGTGCACAGGGGCGGAGCCAAAGGGTCTCCCCTTTAGTACTTTTAAGAAATCCATTTTTGGCTGACCGACCTTAAAATATATACTGATTTTTATGGGGAACGCGCGCCAAAAAACGCAATTTATTAGTCAAAATTTTCTAAAAAATGCCGAAAAACTGCTTTTTTACCTTTTTTTCCAAACTTTTTCCTGCAGCGCAAAAATTTTGGTAAACATACGGTCTGCTAGAGTTCTGGAAGCGCTCATACTTAATTTAATCGACCTAAAAAAAGGTCGACTGAATTTTCAAAAAAAAATTACGCGCGGGACTCATAGAAGCCAATCTGATGAACGCGTTTCCTCTGATGTTTTTTTTTTCGAAGAACCTAGAAAACTTTTCAGAAAAACTCGTTAAAAATGCCAATCAAAATCTACTATCTTAGTAATTTAACGAGATAACCTGGGTTACCAAAAATATGCATGTTTTCTGCGTGTTCTATTAATGAGAACGTGCTACATGCAGCTGTCCAGTCGTCTGTCAAGACGTGTTCAATGAATGTTTTATTGAATTTATATTAAATCTTGTATCTATCAGACCTGTCAGTTTTCTAATCAAAAGATTGGTTTATTGGAAAAGGTTTCTTGAGTTTGCCTGCGCCAGAATTTTCTGATTGGTGACATGTTTTAGGAAAAAAGGGAGGTTTTTAGGGCAGCAGTTTCAATTTTTTTTAGCCCAGCTGAAATGTTAATATGACCAATTGTGGTCCAAATTTCTGGATCGCATGTAATTTCACATTTGTAGCCATTTTTGAAAGGGTTTGTCGAAAGCTGAAGATTATTTCGGCGCGCGCTCCCCCTCAAAGTGTTTACTGGCATCATCATTGGTGGTTTCAGAAATATTTTCGAATCTGAGCCAAAAAAATGTTGTCTTATTATATTGGCAAAGAACCGGGCAAACCTTTCCTTTAACTGGTCCGTGCCGTTCTGATGGCAATATACTATGGCCATGTTCATGATGAATTGTGTGAACAGGTAGACTTGGTGCTCAGAAATACGGGCATAGTGATTTATTTACAGTTTCAGACTGACCTTAGCTCCGATTTGGTTTCCACACTGTCCCGCTTGGATGTGAACAATTTCCCTCATGTTGAACCGAATTTAAACTGAACGCTGTTTTAATAACTTATTATATCTCGACTGGTTTTTAAATATAATGAAATCAATATACCATTTCAAGTTTGCGAATGGTGTTTCACGCCAGATGTTGGTGCTAAATAGATGTAAAGTTTATCTTTTTTTAAACTTTTCGCTTTTGCAAACAATGTTTATGCATCGTGTTTATTTAAAACTAGAAGTGATTGTAAATATATAACAGAAATATGGATAGCAGTTTTTTATTGTTTCTTATTTGGACTTAGTTAGATGGATGTTAGGCTATGAATAGAGAACAAAAATAAAAAAACAAACAAGAGTGAATGTGTTCACGGAGAGTTTGGCTCAAATTACATGAAAAATTATATCATGAAAAAAATCTGTTTTTATTGGACAATCTTAAATAACTTTACCATGTGAGTTTTATCTGGATTGAGCTTGGAAGTGTTGGCTGCATGAGCGATAGAAAACCTAGAAACCCTTGACAGTGGCCGAAAAATGGATGTCGCAAAATATAACCAAAAACATCCTTCTCATCTCACTCACAAACGAACCATCCCACCCCCACCTATCACCTTCTAACCCCCCCTAACTATTAACTCAAATGCAACCCGTAGCCCGACAAGGTGTTTTCAATTGGTTGCTTGAAGAAAGCAAGCTTGTTCAGGCATAAATTACGATCGAATGCCAGCAGCGGCGCATTGCATCTATGTAAACAATTGATGCTTAGTGGCAAAAAAGGATGAAAAATATGAATGAAATGAAGAAAGTGCAATAAACTGGAAACTAAAAATACAATTTACAGGTAGAGCGCTCACAAGGTAGTCAGTAGATCAGTTCAACCCTAATTGATTAACCTTCGTGTTAATCCTTTCCGGCTGGTTAACATATATTAAAAAAATAGATAAAATTGTTTGTTTTTCATTGGGCGTTTGTCTTCTGTCTCACATGTCATCTTGTACGTGAAGTGAGTGAACAAAAACTTTGCTCAGTCTCTCTCGCTGTCGTCAAGTTATGACACATCAAACAGAGAACTCAAACAGGGCCCAAAATCTCAGGAGATAACTGGAAAAAAAAACTTATCAATAAATTTAAATCATCGCCAAAAAATAACTTCCAGGTACAAGTGTATAGCTTCCATATTAAAGCTTTCATTTCTTATTGAGATATTGAGCTACCATTTTTTAGATTTGATTTAAATGTTGCCATTTTGAATTGGCTTCAAAAACTAATTTTAAATTGGATCTTTGAAAAAAAGTAAAGAAGTCGTTTTTTTTTCTCGTTGAGACAGCAAAGCAAAATAGTTGAGTTGAATCTATGAATTGGCTCACTTTTTTCATTCATTGAAAAATTAAATAGCTCTAAAAATTGAAATAAAAATCGTACCGGTTTTGCTCGGCTAATAGTTCCACATTTTGAGGAAGTGTCAAAAAATTGTTAGTTTTCAATAGAATTGTCTCTGAACTCTATTAATAAATTGAATGAAGCACATAAAAAAGCCAAATTTTTTCATCTTCATTGAAAGCCAACTGTTTCTACTAATAAAAATATCTAAATATAGCACCACACAGTATTATGTAAAAAATAAATAACATCAAATCGAGCGAAAAAATCAATTTTTTTCCAGAAATTTTGAATGTCTTACCGGAGAAGATTCTTCTGTTTTAAAACTGGCGTTGTTTGGTTTGGAGTTAAGTTAAGACAGAGGTGTGGCAGAATTAGCCAGCATCAACTTCGATATTTTTTCGAAGGATTTAGTAGAAGTCAGTTGAAAAAAGAACCAACCTGGACATCTCGCAAAATTAGGTATTTAGGTTTTTTACTCGCCTGCTTTTCAGGTGAAACGTATGATTTGAAATAGTAATTTTTCAAATTTTTCTTAATTCAAATTTGTAGATTTTTTTTTGGTTTTCCTGAGCAACTGATCGGTAGAATGGGAGGAAAATTATGATTGCGTATAAAATAAATAATCCAAAAATAAGAGAAATCGCAGCTTTCGAGCGGCTGTATTCTGTTCACTGTTCAAGCTAATCTTTTATTTATAACAAAGCCGAATGATTTTTGCATTTTGTATTTAAAAATACAGTCATATACTTTCAGGTGCATTTTTTAGTAATTGCATTGTTATTATGACGATGTGCGCCGTAAATACTCAAGTGTCTTTTATACAAGTATGAATATAATAAAAACAGCTTTGGCATATATATTACTATAAGAGGAAAAATCGCAAAAATAACATTATTTAGTCCAAGTGCAGATGTTAAAATTATAACATTTAGAACCAGCAGCATAACGGCTGAAGATAAAATTAAAATGCTCTCAGCAGACAAACAACGACGAAAAAGACTTGAATATAAATGCGCACGCCGCTTTTAAGCTGTATTATGCTATACACGCACTGCGAGTTAGCGTACTGAGATTTATTTTGAGTTTGATTTTATGTTATGTTTTTTTTCTGCTTTTAAAAATCTAATAAAAAATTAAACCCCCTCAAGACAGGTGATAGGGACTAAGAATGCAGTTTGTTCCTGTTGTTTATTGCACGTATGATTCTATTTAAAAGCCGAGTACAATCTAATTCGGCAGGTGTCTTTCTCCACAGAAAGACAAGCTCTTTCTTTTCAATTTTATCCCCAAAAATCCCAAACAAATTGAAAAGTATCAACACGAAAACCAAGACATTCAACAAACAGCTATGTTAATAGTACGCAAACGCAATTGAGCAAAAACATGAAGCACCGTCTCCAAAACACTGTTTTATGGAATATCCGCCATAAATAAATTATTCTGTCATTATATCTGAATCTGCTCAGATGCCAGCAAGATGAATGAATGACCTGGCAGGTTTGAAATGAAAGCAAAAGCAGCGGCATGAAAAATTCATTAAAAAACAACTGTTTTTTGAATCACTGATTGAAAATTATTATCCCCTCCCCACACGAAAACATGGTCGATTAAAAAAATATAATTCGAAGTTGTTTTGCTAACTTGCTTGGATCAATAAGAATATGTTTTTGCTTTCCTGAAGTTAAAAAGATATGAAGTACCACCGAATGTTCCGAACACTTTTATCTACGCTTTTTCTGTCTGGTATTTCAAATGATTTTTTAAAAATAATCTCACATGTTTGAAGTCTGAATCATGACTTAACATGCGTTTATTATATGATAACTGATCACGTGTGAACTCACTGAGGCATTCAATTGCGAAAAAGTGAGGCAAAATGGTCTGGATTTTTCTCTTGATATTTTTCAGGGTTGATCACATAGGCTCACAAAGGACTTAAAATTTTTTTTTGATAATTCTGTGTTAATCTTTATTCAATCAATTCATTTTTTTTTTCAAATTTTGAACTTGGCCGAAATAGACTTTAGACGTTGTTTTAATGCCTCACCAGCACACAAATTTTTGAAAAATAGGCTATTATGACATTTCAGGTCAGTTTTTGAAAAACTTTGATGAAAAAAAAATTCAGGAAATTTTTAATGATGGTCGACCAAAAAAGAAGTTGCTATAGAGTATCAAAAGGCTGACAGTTTGAGTGGTCAGTGGCTCATGATTATGACGCTTTGAATGATCATAACCGCAAAGCCGGAGTTTTCAAACCTAAAGCTTCGTCACGAAGTCGCATCTTGCAGCCATTGAAAATATTTTGATCAATTATACTTCTCAAAAGTGTTCACTGACTGTCTTAAAAATAGCACAAAATATTTTGTCCGTTAGGAATTAAATAAAACCAAGAAAATTTCTAAAACTTTCAAAAAATATATAACATATATCAAAATTTTTTCAATTTTGACAATTTCCATTAAGACTTTTTAGTGAAGTCTATTTGAATTATGTTACATTCTAGAACAAATATTATTTAAAATTCACAAAAAAAATGTGATCAAAAATCAAGTTCAGTTTCATACCATCAAGTTCAAGGTCATCAAATTCTTCTGAAAACCGAAAACTTCCGTAATTGATGAAAAAAAAACAATGAAAAAATCTGCAATAAATAAAAAAATATGGTTCGAGTCTATTTACATTTTCAACTTATGTCTTTCCTTGATTAATTAAAAGGAGTTCAGTTTTACAAATACAACAATATTTTGAGTTTTCTTGATATTTTTATATAAATAATCACCATAACAAATTGTTTCCAATACAAGCCGACCATTTCATCGCTTTTTATATCATTCTTTTTACAAAATGCAGATCATTTTAGTAGATCGCAGCTAGACTCTCTGATTTTTGCCGTCTAGATGAGTTAGGACCGAGTTGGTTAACTCATAGAGTAATTTCGGATAGGGTACACCGTCTGCTCGTCACGCTATCTTATTTTCGGCCGGATAGATTCGTGCAACTTCTTAGTCTAATACCGATCCTAATCTTACTCTTATACTATCTAGTCTCAGGTTGTTTAACTAGTCTCTGCTAGGCTCAATAGATCTAGGGTATACTGGTTTATTGCGGCTGCTGAAGTGCTCGGGAGAGTCCAACTAATTTCTAAGTTAAATTCAAATCTCTCTGGTGCTGAAATTACAAGTAACTTCAGCACTTACAAATAAGTGGGTTGTTAGTTAGATGGATCATGATTGGTTAATATTAAATACTTTACATTGGTAAAATATCTAAATTATCCAATCATAAAATGTAGTTTAGATCAGGTTCCACCCATCCGGGTTTTACAGAGTTTTTTAGAATAGTTCTTCTGCAATTCGAAGGATGGATGATGGACGTTGGTGTTTGGCGAACATCTTATTTCTTCTGTTTCCTTTTTGTTAAAGAAGTTCCAGGAAGCTGGAGTTAGAGACATAAGACGTTGTGTCTTCTAGTGACAACGACTAAGTCTTCGCAACAAACTCAAATCTGATTTCAGAATGGTTGGCTATGTCAGGTTTTTCTGTTCTGCGTGGAGAACTTCTTTTGTGTCTGATCTAGTTTGGGAATGGCGTGGAGATTGTGCGTGGAGGGGATGCCTGGTTACTCGGATCTGTACGTATACTTGAACATCGAGGTGGTCATTGGTCTAGTTCAATGAAGTCCTTTTCTGCGAAGTCAAGTCGTACTCTAAATCCTTTGAGTTGTGATTGTGAGTGGCATATCGATTGTGGTTGGTCATTCTCTCTCGAGTGTAGTGGGGTCGTTTTGTCTTTAGATGTTCGTCCTTGGTGTTGTATTCTGATCTATGTATTGCATAATGTAATTTACATTTTATAAAACATTTATTAGTTTAATATTTTTTAATTATGATTTTAGTTAGTTGTTTTCACAAAAGCTTTTTGTTTTAGTTCGGTTATTTTGAAGAGTTACTCACACTTGAGTAGCTCTTATTAAAAATAGAGGTGTGGTCACAAAGCGTGGATGTAGCACGGTGGGTTAGGCCGGCTATAGAGCATGCTCAAGACGTCCTTCCTGGTGGGTTAGGCCAGGAGTGGGAGTATGATTTCATGCGGTTTTTGTGAGAGGTCCTGTTATGTGACAACGTTTTATGTTGGGTTTGTTGTGGTTTTTCTTATGTTTTGTTGGTTGTGTCCTTTTTTCAAAAATCAAATTGTTTGTGGTATGGGTTTGTCTTTCGACTTTTTTGTGTTTTATTATTTCTTTCTTAGACTTTATAATAGTCTTTAAAAGAATAAATTATCCAGTTTTAAACTGGGTTAATCCGGTTTGGGTACCGTTGGTTTCCTTTTCTTAGTCATGCTGTTATTCTATGATTTGTGGTATTTAGTAAGCTGCGTTGGTTAGTTTTGTTTAGTATATGATTCCTTTCCAACCGGGTTAAAGGAAAGTTTGAAACATGTTATTATATGTTAGAGTTGTTGAGTGTGAAAACTTGAAACTGAAATTCATTATTTTAAACAATTCTTCGTGGGCGAGCTGTGCGAGTGTGGATAGAATTTCTGTGCGAATGAATGAAAATATCAAAAGGTTAGTACTGCAATTGTATTTTATTAATTTACTGCATAGAATTTGGAAATTTACTGCTAGTTATGGGGGAATTTTAAGTTACAAATTTTCATCATAATTAGATTTACTGCTTGTGGGGAAAATTTTAGAAATGAATTTACTGCATTGGTATTAAATTTATAAATCTATAAGTGTAAGAGATTAATAGAATTTTTGAAATCTGTTTGATGAAATTTGCGATTTTTATTTGTCTTTTGTGGTTTTTGTAGGTGATCGTCGGATGAAGGCTAAAAATCTAAAGAAAACATGAATAAAGTATGGTGAGTTTTTTAATATTTTAATTAGTTAGTAATATTCATTTAATTCATACTTACCTGTTAGTCGTCGGGGAAAAAACCGTGGGGGAAGATGTCGTGAATTAGTTCTGAAGTTGTTAGTAGTTTAGCTAAGATGCGGATGATATTTTTAGTCTGAAGCAGTGGCCAAAGCAATTGGAGTGCCTTGATAGTGGTTAGTTCTTCAGTGCCAACTGCAAACTCATAAGGTGTGTTTTGGATTAGATTATATAATTTGTGATTGAATTTAGTGTTGTGGATGAATTCTAAAATTGGGATTTCTATAGGTTGTACAAACTCGTGCGGGATAAGGAAGGGTCGGGATTCTTCGGCGTTGAAGGTCTTGGTGATGGGACAGAAGATGTACATTTGGGTTATGGGGTCATAATTACGAAGAATACCATGGAGGTTAGTGTCTTTAATACAATATGTGAAATTTAGGAAAAATGGTGAAGTGTATTTGGAATTAATGAATTGAAATCGATGGTGTGGTTGTCTAGAGGGTGTGTGTAGGTCAAAGTGATTTTGGATGAAGCGATAATAACTATATGTGTGGGTTTGTTTAGTGCGCAACATAATATCGTGTGAGCAGTGTAAATCTCTTTCGTGTGGTGCAAGGAAATGAAAGGTTAGTGAAAATATTTGGAAGCGTTCTTTAAAACTTTCGTATGCTTGTGTGTCTGTTAGTGCTTCTGAAATAATGTGATCAAACTTTCGGTCGAAGATGTTT